AATTCGGTTACGTATTCCAAATTTGGAGACTGTATCTTCAACCAATCAGTAGATATGTGCATATAAAATCTAAATTTTTGGGAGGTACCTCCGATTCTGATGCTATATCTCCAGTTCCAAGTGGAAATTCAAAAATGTATATAGCCTATGTTATTTTCAGGCGATGTTGCAGTATATAAGGAAATTTTCAGGAAAATCTATTCAGCGGTTTTCGAGTCCATAAATTACAAACAAACAAACATACAAACATTTTATATATATATATATATATATATATATATATAAATATATATATATATATATATATATATATATATATATATATATATATATATATATATATATATATATATATATATATATATAAAATGTTTGTATGTTTGTTTGTTTGTTTGTTTGTAATTTATGGACTCGAAAACCGCTGAATAGATTTTCCTGAAAATTTCCATATATACTGCAACATCGCCTGAAAGTAACATAGGCTATATACATTTTTGAATTTCCACTTGGAACTGGAGATATAGCATCAGAACCGGAGGTACCTCCCAAAAATTTAGATTTTATATGCACATATCTATTGATTGGTTGAAGATACAGTCTCCAAATTTGGAATACGTAACGGAATTTGGAACAAAAATAAGTTTGCCAAATTATATTGAAATCGGTTCAGATTTGGATATAGCTCCCATATATATTTTCGGCCGATTTCAAGCATTTGATGCACCAAACACGCTATGTATCCCCAATTTCAATGAAATTTGAAACGTGTGATAGATTTTATCTAAAAAATTGATTTTCCAAATTATATTGAAATCGGTTCAGATTTGGATATAGCTCCCATATACATTTTCGGCCGATTTCATGTATTTGGTGGACCAAACACGACATGTATTTCCAATTGTAATGAAATTTAAAATAAGTAACGGAATTGGGAGCCAAAATGAATTTGTCAAATTAAATTGAAATCGGTTCAGATTTGGATATAGCTCCCATATATATTTTCGACCGATTTCATGTATTTGATGCACCAAACATGCTATGAATCTCTAATTTCAATGAAATTTGGAATGTGTAGCGGAAATTAAAACAAATATACATTTGTCAAATTATATTAAAATCGATTCAGATTTGGATATAGCTCTCATATATATTTTCGACCGATTTCATGTATTTTATGCACCATACACGATATGTATGTTCGATTCCAAAGAAATTTGGAATATGTAACGGGATTTTGATGAGAAAATAAATTAGTCAAATTATATTAAAATCGGTTCAGATTTGAATATAGCTCCCATATATATATTCTTCCGCCGATTTCACATATTTGATGCACAAAACACGATACGTATTTCCGATTCCAACAAAAATAAATTTGACAAATTATATTCAAATACGCTCAGATGTGATTATAGCTCCCATATATATACTCAGCCGATTTCACATATTTGATGCACCCAAAGCGAGAGAGACAAAATCTGGCACCAGCAAAAATTGCCAAATTATATTGAAATCAGTTGAGGTTTGAATATAGCTAACATATATATTTCGGCCGATTTCATACATATTATGCACCAAACACGATATATATGACCGATTCCAATGAAATTCAGAATGTGTGGCTGAATTTGGTTATAATAATAAATGTGATAAATTAATTGGAAATTAGTTAGTTTTGGATATAGCTCCCATATATATATTCTCGGCCGATTTCACATATTTGACGCACCAATTTCAATGAAATATGAAAGGTGTGGCGGAGTTTGGTGTAAAAGTAATTTTTTTAAAATGATATTTAAATCGGATCAGATTGGGATATGATTTTAATAAGAACCATTGACCCAAAACGCCTTAGGCTAACACTAAAAAACAACACAACAATTTATTTGAAATACGCTTATTACGGCGAAGTATGTTGCTATCTCGAATTCACTAACTGCAATAGAAATGCCACTCTACTTAAAAAAAATGCAGTTTCCTGCACGCTTGGTATTTGCTATGAAATAAATAAATCCAAAGGACAAATGTATGCATGTCATGTTACTTCTTTTGTAGTGATTTTCTTTATTAACGCATTAAATTAGTGCAATATTTTTTTTTAATTTTTAAATTTGTTTTCTTTATCCAACATATATTCGTAAATAAAATTTTGAATGCATATAAAATCAAAAGGGGTAGCGAAGCGCACCGGGTTCAGCTAGTATATATATATATATACACTAGCTGGCCCAGTCCGCGTTGCCGGCCAGTACTTTTAGTCTTTAGCGCATATTTTCTAAAGCATAATAGAGCATAGACTTATGTGAACGGGACAATTTTTATTATAAGTAAAACCACTCCATAGTAATTTCTAAATAGAAAACACATTCATGGCAAAAATTATAAAAGATAAGCACCCAAGGTCGCTTGAATAGCTTGATCTTATTATTCAGCCGTAGGCTTTAATTGAGTGTTAAAAACTTATATGATATAGAACATCTATAATAATCCCATGTTGAAACATAATTTTTGGTATTGTAAAGAGCTTAGCAAAATTATCCCTTCAAATGTGCTGTAATTTGGAATTTGTTTTTACAACATTTAGAATACTGTGCTGTGTGAAATTAGTCCACCTCATAATTAGGGGCAGAATGATTTCAGAATAGTCAAAGATAATTACTCTTCTACACCCATTACCGTAAGAATGGAATTTACTTATTTTTGTCATTTAAATTGTGCATTGGAGACCCCATAAAGTTCATATTTTTCATGATAGTATAATTCAAAGACGATCAAAGTAATTACGAAAATTAAATAATTGATGGTTATACCAAAACGTAATCGTTTTTTGCGAGGATTGTTCCTTCTTAAATTACCAACCTTTGCTGAAATGAGTATTCAAAATATGGTTAAAATGTAAACTATACTCGAAATCGGGCTATACCCCTAACCGAAGGTCATATATCATGACCTGCAAAAGCGATTTAAAATATTATGAAAGTCAAGGAAGAATTTCTGGAAGGATATAAATCCATTTTTAATAAATGTTCAATTCGCTCTATCATATTTACTGATTGCAGACCCAATGAATTGCATTTTTTGAGTTCTCGTTCTCACATCAAAGAGATTGTTTTTCATTCACATATTTATTGGCATATTTTACCGCGATTTTTGGCAGGATAACGTTCCAAAATTGTATGAATTATCAAAATCCGTCAAGCCGTTCTTTAGTTATAAGCGTTGTACCTAACATAACTTTTTTTTATATTGTGAAAATAATTCTTTATTTTGCTTACAAAAAATCTACTGAATTCAATATGATAAGCCAAATTATGTAACCCGCCTTCAATTTCTGTTCTCAGGAAATCAAGTCAATTAAATAAATTGGTTTTAATATTCGAATTCAAAAATAAAATATAAAAAACACTACAAATGTACTTTAGAAAAAGTAAGTCAAAATGAAAAAAAAAAATCATACAAAAAAAAAAAAAAAAAAAAAAAAACATTACTATTGTAATTTCAAAAGTCAAAATGAAAATGTTAATATATCACATTTTTACGCGATTTTTTTTTGGATTTTATCCTTTTCGGCCAGGAGACAATTCCGAATTTGTATGAACCGTTAAAATCAGTCCAGCGGTTCTTAAGTTATAAGCGTAGTAACTAACACAATTTTTCTTTCTTTATAGATGATATATTTAGATTAAAAAGTAGGCGTGGTTTGTTCCTCAGCCCCCAAATAAATACTTAGGGTTGGATGGGAAGTCAACAGTATCTCGTGTAATAATTTTCAACCCGATATCTTTATTATTTTGGCATATAAAAGGATTTTAGATAAATCGAAGTAGTGGGCGAAAAAGTGGGAGCGGTCAATATTTTTTTCTTTAAAACCCTAAAAAATTATGCAAATCGGTCCAGCCGTTCTCAACTGATTCCGTTACCAACAAACAATAATTGATTTATATATATATATATATATATATATATATATATATATATATATATATATATAGATATATACATACATATATAGTACCCATTACGAACTGTAAATATGAACCAATTCCGGTAAAAAATATCAAAAAAATACCAAATAAAAGAAGGCACCGTTATATTACCATGGTGATATGAAGCCGTGGACTTAAATATATATATATATATATATATATATATATATATATATATATATATATATATATATATATATATATATATATATAGATATATACATACATATATAGTACCCATTACGAACTGTAAATATGAACCAATTCCGGCATTTCAATTCAGCAAAATACCAAATAAAAGAAGGTACCGTTATATGACCATGGTGATATGAAGCCGTGGACTTACATAGACAATTTTCCTTCATACGAGTATGTGGTAGTATCCATTACGGGTTTCAAACACGATAATAATCATAAAATCATCAAAATACCGCATATCCGGAAGTATCGTTATATGGAGGATTACGAAGACGAGAACCTGCGACGCAATTTTTGGAACTTCATATAGCAAATTTGAGAGGAGAAAACCAAATTCGGCAGTTCACCACTTCCGGATGGGCTGTATCGGTTCACAATCTCGTACAGTCCCCAATATTAAATATATTATTTATTTATTTAAATATGTTTTTTAATATTGGGGCTATACGAGATCGTGCCATCAGAATAACTGTCGAATATTATCGCGAAAATATTCCGGAATCGAATCGAATTCTGATGAAGCTAGATTTCATATATGCAACCCTTGGGGGAATTAATATTTGAGATTGTTTTCTAAAAATCATATAAGAAACTCGATATTATGGAAGACCTTGAGATTCATTTAATTTTTCTTTATATGCGGCTGCTCAGGGGGTTTACCTGCTTCGTTTTTGTTATGTTTGCTCATGTGACCAACAATATAGCTAGATATTATTAAGATTACATTTGACAAAATATTGAAAAATAAAAAAATAGCGAAAATTTAAAGGCGCACGGAAAAATCACTTTTATCCATTTGTTTTTTTTTTTGATTAGGTGCCATCGTATCATCACTTGTACTGTGCTGCATAGAAGGTCTGTTTAAAGTGCAAGTACAAGTATTTAAATGTCAACTTCAATAAATGCATTGGAAGAAACAATAATATCTAAAACACTCAAATAAAAATCACTCGCACATACACCACCAATCTTCTCAACCTCTAACAGTTATTGTCACATACAACAAATCGGATGTATTCAATAGACGCACAAAACTTTCAAATTTCGACGTATTCCGACGTGCTTATTTCGCTCCGCTTGTAAAGAGTATTGATCATCCATATATCCTCGTATTGTAGCCATACAAGGTACATGCTAAATCGTTGGGTAAGTAATAACATATCAAGTAGTGTAAAGTGATCGTCATCCTTTTGCAGCGAATATTCTCTGTACCTATAGATTTGAATGGTTTTGGTTCAAATATTTTAAAAATTGCTCTATTACTAACATACAGATATATACCCTCAGCCAACGTTCGATTATTTAAATATGGAGTAGCTTTCGAAGGAATTGACCCATATCGTCCATTTCGTGTCGGACCTAAATAAATATGATATAAATATTGCTATGTGCCAGGTTTGGACTATATTGGTTACTTCCTTCACTTTATATTAGATATGTGACAATTTTAAGAAGATCTCAAAATGTGCATAAGTTCCAGATATTGTTGACCGAAGTATTCCATTTTCATGCTTCACCTAATACAGATAAAAATATTGGTATGAGCAAAATTACAAGAAAATCGAACATTTATATATTTTATGCGAGTTAGAGATGTCAAGTTGTTAAGAATCACAGACTTGTTTCGCATGTTATGACTGATAAAAGTATTGAAAATTGTGACTCTTTGTGGGTACCAGAAGGGGTTTGCTGATATATATATATATCATTTCCACAACAGATCTTGTGTTAGTAGAAATAATGGGATGTGTGATGCATATTTCGCTGGTGTTCGAAGGGAGTATCCGATTGAGTATCTGTCATGACGTGCGAAACAAGTCAGCGATTCTTAACAACTTACTATATCCAAATATTTCTCTCAACCAGAAACCTAAGATGAATATGGAATTTCTAATTTCGCAAAACCGACTGATACTTTTTGACATGTTTACTCAAATAAATGAATAAAGCAATATATCTTACATATAAAAATAAATCGATGAGTGAGAATTTCCCTAGGGACCTTTATACCTATCCAATGAAATGATATTACTACTACAACCAAATTCTAAGAAAAATTCGGAGACATGAACTTTAATTCTTTGAAATAAATTCGCAATATTCTAATTTTTTATTACTATCAATAAGCCAGTTCTTAGAATTTGTTGTTCTTAGTATGTTTATTCTTAGATTTTTTTTATTCATAGAATTTTTGGTTTTTATCCTTACCCCTAATGGTTTTGAGTTTAGGTAGACGTACGGAAACAAAAATATAAATATGCAGATGCAAATAATTTGGACGTTGCTGAAATTGTTGTACGCCGTAGTAGACGTTACCAGCAAATGACTGCGGATGAAAGGAGTGTAGCTGATTCTAGATTCGCTGATGTTATGGACGAAGACATGGATGAAGAAATTGGTATTGATAATTATCCATTTGAGGATGATGAACCTAGCACTTACAGGGACTGGAAACAAATGAAAGTTACTATATTGGTAAAGATGGCACCCAATGGATTAAAATGCACCAAACACTTCACGCACTCGTAATCATAATGTGGTCGACTTCACAAGAAAGAAACCAGGACCAACCGGAAATATACACTACTCATATTATTGTGTTCAATCGTGAGGAATACACTTAATACTATATGAAACAAATCGTAAAGGCAGGGAGGTTAGCGCTGCAAGGAATTTTTCGAATCCTTTGGTAGACCTTTTTTCTATTTATAGAAATCTTCACAATTCATTTATTATTTTATTGTTCTTTAAGATTAAAAAAAAAAATAACTGTTACCCATGGTACAATGATATCAAGGTAGGGCTATGAAACCATATGATTTTAATTTTTTTATTTTCTTGGCTTAATATCCTTCTATCCATCTTTATTTGTTTATGTATTTGTTTTCTTTTCAATAACAAAAAAAATTTCAGAAATTATTCAAATTCGGGTGTTTTCAAAATGTTTATTTCAACGTATACATCGACAAAATCTAGAGTTTTTGTAGCGAAATAATCGTTTAGAGATATATAGTACATGATTTTGAAAAGAAGTGTTGACCTTTCATACAGTTATCGCGTTTTTCAATTATTTATTCAAAATAAATGCAACAAGTTGTTTGATTTTTTATTGTTTTGAGACTAATTCTGACATTACACGCCAAACAATTGCAATTTTTTCAAAGTTGGACTACCTTCTCTTCATTGTACCATGCTGTTACCTTATTTTCTATTTTCTGTAAGCAGACATATCGTAACAAAATTATTATTTTTTCAATTAGGTATCATCAAGAAAAGGAAACACTGACTAAAAGATTTCAATTCACGTTACTCATATCTTTGGCATAAAATATTCCTTCGATGACTGTTTTGCAAATACGCAACCACTGTACATGCAACAAGGTATCACTGTCGACAATAACATCACATTTTATGCAACATCCAATATTGTTATGACATCTTATAGTATATTTTATAGTTTCTTTTAATATCATTTTTCTTTGCAACCGACATCAGTACATTCCTAGAAAACCAAAATTATTATTACAAAGTAATCTTTAATCAACCGAAAATGCATTTATTTATTTTAACCTTTTTAAAGTTCTTATAATAAGTATACAATTAACTTACTTTATTTGATATATTATGGGGTGTAATAAGCAATTGATTTGGTACACAGAACTACTATTGGAGGGTATACTAACCATACTATGGAGGGTAACTCCTCGAAAGATTCATGTCAGACCCAACAAAGTATATATATTCTTGATCAGCGTCTGTCTGTCCGTCTGTCTGCTACAATCACGCTACCTTTCGAACGAATTGAGATAGAAGGCTACAATTTTACACACATGTTTATTTTTCCAGGCAGGTCAAGTTCGTAAATGGGCCATGTAGGTCCACGTTTTCATATAGCCCCATATAACGGTACTTCCCGCTATTCGGTATTTAGATGATTTTAGCGACATTATTAACCGGAAATGTTTTAAATTTGGTATTTACAGTTCGAAATGGATACTACAGACTAAGACAGAAAATTGTCTGTGCATTTCCACGTCTTTGTATAGCCCCCATATAGCGGTACCTCCCTATATTCGGTATTTTGATGATTTTAGCGACATTATTCACCGGAATTCTTCGTATAGGCCCCATATATCCCTATATTTCGGTATTTTGACGATTTTAGGTACAATACCCACCGAAATTGTTAGAGATGTCGTATTTGAAGTTCGTAATGGATGCTATAGCCTGTGAAAGAAAATTTTCTATACTGGTCCAGGTCTTCGCACAGCTCTGATATAACTGTACCTCCCTATATACGATATTTTGATAATTTCAGCTACATTATGAATCGTTTATTTTATGTTTCGAATTTGAACATGGTAATGGCTTATGTCAAAGAATGCCTACGTAGGTCCATGCCGTATAGACCCCCACTTTAACAGCGAATATAGTATCTTTAAAATTTTGACACAATTTTTTACGGATTTTATTTTTTGAAGCTAAACTATATTATTGATATATATATATATATATATATATATATATATATATATATTATATATATTATATATATATATATATATATATATATATATATATATATATATATATGTATATATATATATATACATATATATATATATAGCCTTGATATGACGAATGATATTGAAACAAGTGAAAAAGGAGTTAGTTCACTTGTTAGTTAGTCAAGTCAATTGTGAAAACTCAGCGTGCTTTTAAAACATTAAAAAATGTGAGAAGTGCGCCTTCTAAGAACACCATTAAGCGTTTATACGAACAATTTTCCACTGGTAAGGCTCTTTCTAATCCGAAGAGGCCATATAAAAGTCGACAAACGCGATCGGCCGAGAATATCGCTGCAGTGCGAGCCAGTGTTGAGAGGTCCCCAAGAAAATCCCAAAAACGCCGTTCTCAGCAGTTGGGCATGGCTCGGTTCACTTTACAACGGATTATTCGCATTGATTTGCATTTGTTCCCGTACAAAATTCAATTGACGCAAAGAATGTTGCCTGCGGACAAGCCTCGTCGATTGGCATGTGCCCAAAGGTCCGTCGAATATGGGCAACCCTGTACATATTATTTCTTAATGAATTTTTTACTAAACTATATTATTGATTAGTTTTTATTAGACTTTTAGAACTCGATGTAAAATAGTTTAGTGTGATAAATATTTATAAGTTATTTTTAACTGGTATTGAGTATTGTTATACCCTCCACCAAAAAATGTATGGAGGGTATATTAACTTTGTCATTCCGTTTGTAACTCATCGAAATAATCATTTTAGACCCAACAAAGTATATATATTCGTGATCAGCGTAAAATTCTAAGACGATTTAGCCCTGTCCGTCCGTCTACAGTCTAAACGAATTAAGATAGGAAGCTAACATTTTGCACAGATCTCTCTTTTGTCTGCAGGCAGGTCAAGTTCGAAGATGGGCTATATCGATCCACGATATCGTATAGCCCCCATATAACGGTACCCCCCGATATTCGGTATTTTGATGATTTTACCCACATTTTTCAACGGAATTGTCTGAAAATCCACACAAGGAGTTCCTTGTGGGTACTTTATACCTCGGCAGAGAATTATCTACATAGGTCCACAATATCGTATAGCCCCCATATAACGGTACCCCCCGATATTCGGTATTTTGATGATTTTACCCACATTTTTTTAACGGAATTGTCTGAAAATCCACACAAGGAGTTCCTTGTGGGTACTTTATACCTCGACAGAGAATTGTTCATATGGGTCCACGATATCGTATAGCCCCCATGTAACGGTACCCCCCGATATTCGGTATTTTGATGATTTTACCCACATTTTTCAACGGAATTGTCTGAAAATCTACACAAGGAGTTCCTTGTGGGTACTTTATACCTCGGCGGAGAATTATCTATATAGGTCCACAATATCGTATAGCCCCCATATAACGGTACCCCCCGATATTCGGTATTTTGATGATTTTACCCACATTTTTCAACGGAATTGTCTGAAAATCCACACAAAGAGTTCCTTGTGGATACTTTATACCTCGGCAGAGAATTATCTATATAGGTCCACAATATCGTATATCCCCCATATAACGGTACCCCCCGATATTCGGTATTTTGATGATTTACCCACATTTTTCAA